ACTGGGTGTTATGCACAAACAATGAATCATGGAACACTTCATCTAAAACTAATGATGTAATGTATGGGGATTAACATAAGAATAAAAAGAAAAAACAAAAAACCAATATGGTACTGTCACAAAAACAGATACATAGATCAATAGAACAGGGTAGAGAGCCCAGAAATAAACCCACAGGTATACAATTAATCTATGATGAAGCAAGAATATACAGTGGGAAAAAGACAGTCTTCAATAAATGGTATTGGAAGAACTGGACAGCTACATGCAAAAGAATGAAACCGGACCATTTTCTTACACCATCTGCATAAAGAAACTCCAAATGGAGTAAATACCTAAATATGAGCCCTGAAACCATAAAACTCCTTCAAGAAACCAGGCAGTAATCTCTTGGATATCACCCTTAGCAGGGTACTTATGGATAGGTCTCCTCGGGCAAGGGAAACAAAAGCAAAAATAAACTACTGGGGCTTCACAGTAAGACAAAGTTTTGCACAGCAAAGGAAAACAACAAAACCAAAAGGCAACCTACTGAATGGAAGAAGAATTTGCACATGATATATCTAATAAAAGGTTAATATCCAAAATATATAAAAAATTTATACAAGTCAATACCACAAAACCGAACAATCCAATTAAAACATGGGCAGAGGACCTGAATACACATTTTTCTGAAGAAAGCATACAGATGACCAACAGACATGACTAATGGCATCACTAATCATAGAGGACCTGAATACACATTTTTCTGAAGAAAGCATACAGATGACCAACAGACATGACTAACGGCATCACTAATCACCGAAAAATGCAAATCAAAATGGCTATATATATCATCTCATACCAGCCAGAATGGCTAGCATGAAAATGACAAGGAAAAAACAAATGTCGGTGAGGTTGTGGAGAAAAGGGAACCTTCATGCACTGTTGGTGGGAATGTAAATTGGGGCAACCACTGTGGAAAACAGGATGCAGATTCCTCAAAAATTTCAAAATAGAAATACTGTATGACCCAGGAATTCCACTACTGAGTATTTACCCAAAGAAAATGAAAACACTAATTGGAAA